CCCTGGAAGGGGAACGGGGGCGTGAAGAGCCGGAAGCGGGAGGGGGCAGGGAGGAGAGAGGACCGAGAGGGAAGGGAGGGAGGGGAGGGGCAGACAGCAGAAGCGAGGGGGGGCGAGGGGGAAGGGGAGGAAGAGAATGGGGGGAGGAGAGGAGAACGAGAAGGACGGGAAGGGGGGAACGGCCACGCCGGGGAGGGCAGGGAGGGCGCGGGAGGCTTGGGGGAGCGAAGGGGAGGGGAGGGGAGAGAGGAGGTCTCGGCCCACGGGTACCATGCCGAGCAGGACTGAGCCGCGCTCTCGGCCGAACCAAGGCCCTCGCGGGTCTGGCCCTCCCCCGGAGGTCCTCTTACCCGGCCCCAGCGTCATCGGGAGCGGCCAAGAGGGGGGTGTCCAAGAGGGGGGGTGCAAATCATGACCGGCGGCACGTGCGCGGCCCAGCGGGCTGGCCACGACATGCCTGTAGCAGCATTTGGCTCGGGGTTCTCACCGCGCCCCAGGCCCGCGCGCAGCCACAGCGGTCTGCGTGCCCATTTGAATAGTTCTCAGGTGGCGAGCCGAAAAACGTGTTAACAAATCGTGCGTTTTGACGTCGCTGTCATCACATCGCCGGGGTGGACAAGCTACAACACTGGCAACGAGCGACGCATGATCAGCACCATGGCAAACCAGGGTTCAGCAGCAGCCGGCAGCATGGCGTCTGCCGAGATTGCTGCGGTGCCAGCTGGAGGCATGGGGCAAGCATTGCAATCGGCATTATTAGATCAGGAAAGTCAGGTGGAACGTCTTGCGATGGAAAGGGAGGAGGAGGCGAGGAAGACAGCCCGAAGCTCCCCCAATCCCAGCACAGTGCGGCATCAAGAAACCATCGATGCCGTCATGGCATCGGTCAAGGTTCCCCAGGCCATCGTACATCACATCAAAGCCATCGTTGACAAGCTCCACAACAGGATCTTGAAATACCATAACCTAACGAAGAAATGTGATCGCATCCGTGAACATATTGATATCATTTCCAAGGGCGACTGGCCTGTGGACACGAAGGCCTTCAAGTGCCAGGTCGAGGTCCCAGAGCTCGAGGATCCTATCTCGGGCGATCTTGCCCGCCAGTTTCTTGATCAGGACCAGCCCCACCAGGTCATCACCTACCGCAAGGCCAAATAGAAACTGTTCATAGATTACACGCTTACCAACAAGCAGATCGATTTACAGTTGTTGGACAAACAATTATCTCATTATCTCTTGTTAGTGCAGAGATCGATTTCAACAAGTTCGTAGATGAGGCCACTGCTAGTTCCAATTATCGCGATTCTGATTTGAGAAACCTTCGGTTGCCAGCAGCTGCGCTCCCACCTGGTCTTTTTGCAGAGGAGGCGAGGTTGACGAAGGAGGAGGCAGTCAAAATGTACAAAACCATGCTTCGAAGAATCGCGGACGATGATGTGAAGCGGAAGGCCGAGGAGGACAAGCAGGCAGCAATCAAGCAGGAGCGCATATCAGCCCTCATGAAAGCACCCCCCAGTGTCAGGTTTGCGGCTGCTGTCAAGCAAGTGGTTGGCGCCAAGCAGGGCGGTCTTGATTGGGCGGCTTACCAGAGTGGCACCCCGGCAGCAGATTGTCTGCCGTCCTTCAACGGCGCATCTACATCCAAACGCGTTTTCACTAAGAAGGAGCAGGCCCAGCGGAAAAAAGATCGGACGTCCGCTCCGAGACCAAAAAAAGGCAAGGCCCCAGGGGACGGGAAGGGCGGACCCTGGGGCAACCAGCAGCAGTATGTAACAGATCCCCAGTCCACCCCCAAGGGCAAACCCAAGGGCCAGAAGGGCGACACCAAGGGGTCCAAGGGAAAGGGCGAGGGCAAGGACAAGGGGAAGGACAAGGAGAAGGGCCATCCAGAAGTGAAAGGAGGAGGGAGAGGCGCTCAGCGTGGCGGCGCTCCCAAAGGCAGAGGACGCAATGCGAGGAGGGGAAAATGAACGTGGAGTTCATCACACTTGTGGACGACATGCCTACTGATGATTTGTTGTGGCTTCTGAATGAGGGTTCTCAGTTGCAGCACGTGTACGTGTACAATCATCAGGACCATAGTTGCCGCCACCCAGAGCCAGGTGAATTCCCATGGCCAGTAATCTTCTTGCTTTCTCGCTTCCATCGCAAACATCGTTTCACACAGAAGTCTCTGCCAAAGCTTTCAGAGATCAACCACGTAATCCAGCAAGTACGGCACAAATTATTGTGGAAATGGCATTTCAGCAATGAAACGAATCTTTATCAATTTCGCGTTGCATCGACATGCCGAGCCACCAAACCGTTGTCCGAGTCTGCCCCTGTCGAGTTTGACGCTATGCTGCGTGCTATGTGTAGCAATGTTCTCCGAGGGTGCAAGCGCAAGCTTCACCAGCAATACGGTCACACAAAGAGTTCAAACATGTATGGTCTCAGATCGCTGGCTTTCAAACAACTCGCTGAATTGGATTGGGTCCCCGTGCTGACTGACAAGGACGGGGGTTCGGCACTCGTCCGAAAAGGCGTGCTGGAGCAGATCCATTCTTCAGCACTCGCGGGTCCGCAGTATGAAGAGACTTCTCCATTGAACATCCGCTGGTGGCAGCTGTGTGATCACTACTGAAGCTTGGTCAAGAGAATTCACGAGATCGAGCCGGACACAGACGCGCGCTCCCTGCTGCAGAGCTTGACGGGTGGAGTCCCCAGGTTTGTGACGCCAGTAGGGGAGACGATCAAAACCCGCAAAGAGCCAGGTGACGTCTCTTTCCGTATTCTGCATACCAGGAGGGACCATTCGTTTAAGGGTCTTGGGGCTTGGGTAGCTCGCCGGCTTCGTGAATCACTTGCAGTCAAACCACACCTTCTCTCAAGCACAGGAGATCTCATCAATACAAACTCGTGCGTGGTGCTGTCGCTGTTGCGCCCCAGGCTCTTGGGGAGATCATGGGCGATGCGGCAGAGTTCCTCTTGAGCAACCAGTACGTCCAGTCCAGGTTCTACGATGACAGAATTTGGCAGGTGAAGGTCGGTTCTGGGATGGGGATGAACTTCTCTGGGGATTTGTCGGACGCGGGATTCTACCACAGCTTGGAGCATTCTAGAGTGAATGATCGGGTCTGGATGTCCAGCAGGGGGATCTTGTTGTACGTAAGGTTCAAGGATGACATCATGTTAGACATACACATGTTCAAGGGTCCTGATTTTGCCTCCACCGGAAAACTAGCATACAAACCAATCTGGAAAAAGACCAGCTTTGGCATTCCATTGTCTATTTTTTCGGAGCACCCCCGAGGCATCCACGCTTCCTGGCCGTTTGCAGAGCTGGGGCGTCTCCATCGTCATTCTTCCACCCTCCAGCTAAGCTTGGAGGCCAGAGGAGTGTTAATCGAGCGTCTCAGCCAGTATGGATTTCCGAAGTCCTTCATCCAACTTCTGCATGCCTGGTCCCCTAAACGTGCTGGACCCACCGCCTGTCCTGCCCCCACCACCAAAATGTGGGTGCGAGTCCCATACCACAGAGTTTGGGCGTCGGCTGGTCTAGCGAAGTTGTTTAATGAGTTTCTATCCCTGGACATCCCTAGGAGCATTTGTGTGCAGTATCTAGGGTCTCCTCTAGATTTAAGGCCTGCGTGGGTTCTGCGGCAGGCACCTTTTGCTCAGTTGGTCCAGAGATTCTCGCACAGTCACGCGACACTGTGCTAATTTGGAGGTTGGTTGGGTGTGGACGGTGGTCCTTGCTTACTTACTCTTTTCATGACATTCCTGTAGCAGCATTTGGCTCGGGGTTCTCACCGCGCCCCAGGCCCGCGCGCAGCCACAGCGGTCTGCGTGCCCATTTGAGTAGTTCTCAAGTGGCGAGCCGAAAAACGTGTCAACAAACCGTGCGTTTTGACGTCGCTGCCATCACGTCGCAGGGGAGGGGAGAGAGGAGATCTCGGCCCACGGGTACCATGCCGAGCAGGACTGAGCCGCGCTCTCGGCCGAACCAAGGCCCTCGCGGGTCTGGCCCTCCCCCAGAGGTCCTCTTACCCGGCCCCAGCGTCATCGGGAGCGGCCAAGAGGGGGGTGTCCAAGAGGGGGGGTGCAAATCATGACCGGCGGCACGTGCGCGGCCCAGCGGGCTGGCCAGGGAAGTAATGAAATAAGAAGAGGCACCATGAAATCTGGGGAGATATCATGGCCCCCGCCATGATATCCACCCCCCTAGTCATCACGCCCCTCTTTGCCGCAACCGACGTTAAAGGACGAAAGACGCCGGGACGCATCGCAGCTGTAGGCCGTTCCGTGCAGCGCGAGCCCCAAGAAAAAGCGCGGGCGCCATGCTCTCAGACAGACCAATCACGGCACGGCACGGCGCGGTGGAATTGCCGCGGATTTCAAACAAGACGCGAGACGGCACGGCGTGCGAGTGTGTTTCGGAAGGCCAGGGTGCGCTTGCAGACCAAGCGCTGCACGGCAAGACAAGGCACGCCACCATGAAAAACAAGCGCGACACGGCACGGCATGGCAATTTTCTTGCATTCTGAATACCAAGCACGGCACAGCAAGGCACAGAACCGCGGGGCCGTCAACAACAACCAGCGCCGCGAAGCAAGAGAAATGGCAACCGTGCACAAGCCAGAATCCGCACATGGAAACAGACCCCCCCAAAAAAAAATGATATGAACATCAGGGCAAGCAAAAGCCTGAAAAAGAGTCCCCAGTGAACCTGCCGGTGGCTTCGTAGCGACTTAAAACCCACTGGGTTGAATAGGAGGAGGAGGAGTAGGAGGAGGAGGAGGAGGAGAGTGAAGGGGCCCAAGCATACACAAATGAATAGACACAAATCCCAAGATCCCCAATTTTCCTCGTATTGTCTGGGCTCTCGTCTTCCCCGTCACTTCATATATTTTCCCACACATTCCTTGGCACAGGCGATTCTGCGTGTCTTTGTGCTTCTTGAGTGGTGATAAACCGCATTGAAATTCACCATATTGGAGGTAGGATTCGCCAGGGCGCTAAGCAGGCTTTACGACGATGTCAAACCGCTCCCAAGCGCCCTCTCGCTTGCGATTGCACTTAATGCCCTTGTCTTTCTCGTCGGCGCAGAACCTGTTCCAGCGGCCACCGCGCAAGGTGCGCGCGAAGTCCTGGCCAGGGATCGTTCCTCCAATGGTGAACTTCTCCCAACCGCCAATACGTACGCGATTGCACTTTATGCGACCGCCTTCATCGGCGCACCACTTGTTGTGTCTCCCGCCTCTCAGCGCCCACTTGCCGCCGCCCGCGCTGTGGATGTAAAACTTCTCCCACTTGCCGACCTTGTCTCGGTTGCACTTGATCGTGTGGCCCTCGTCGGCGCAGAACTTCCTGGAGTGGCCGCCGATCAGAGCCACGGTGGAACCGTGGCCCCACCCGCTCCCGCGGGCCAGCAGCGTACCGTCGTCCGAGATGTTCAGCGCCAGCCAACCCCCCACCGAACTCTCCGCGTGCTCCCCGGCCGGCGGCGCCCCGCTCGCGTTCGCCCCGCCGGCTGCCCGGACGGCGGCGAAGACGGCGCCCCCGCTGGAGGACGCCACGGCCGACCGCGCGCCGTCGGCACCGCCCCCCTCGGGGGACTGCAAGCGGCATGTCTTGGGTCGGGCACGTCCTCCTCCAGGCGGATTCTGGGCGACGAATCAAGCATGTCTTTAACACACAGATTCCCACGTAGCCGACGGATCTACAAAACCGTCCCCAGGCTATATTTTGTGGTACTGTTGTTGCGCATTCCTTCTGTAGAGGGATTGGGCGCCCGAGTTATCCGGGGTAACTCGGGTCCGGGGTAACTCGGGCTCGGATTCCCGAGAAAAGGAACCCGAGTCAGCCCTGGCCCGAGTTACCCCTGATGATGTGGGGCTGTGGACGCCCGAATCATCCGGGGTAACTCGGGCCCGGGGCAACTCGGGTTCGGATTCCCGAAAAAACGAACCCGAGCTAGCCCTGGCCCGAGTTGCCCCTGATGATCCGGGGCTCTGCCTGTAGAGGGACGTGCCCGACGCAAAGAGGGGGGGGGGTGCAAATCATGACCGGCGGCATGTGCGCGGCCCAGCGGGGGCCAGTGACGCAATGAAACAAGAAGAGGCGCCATGAGATCTGGGGAGATCTCGTGGCCCGCGCCACGATATCCCCCCCCCCCCCTAGTCATCACCCCCCTCCTCTCCCCTCCCGAGTAAGACATGTCGACATCCGCGGGGCGACGGGGAGCAGCGGGCCCTGCACGAGAGGGGGCGCGGCGGCCTCGCGCCGCGGCCTGCGCGGGCCGCCGGCGCGGCACGCCGCGCGGAGACGAGGGCGCTCGCGCGCGCGACCTGCGCGGGGAGCCCGGCCCGCGCGCGCGGACGCCGCGCGGTCGACCCGAGGCGAAAGAGAAGGAGGAGGAGGAGGAGGAGAAAGAGGAGGGGGGAAGAGGAAGAAGAGGCGACGGGAGGGAGGCAGGAGGAGGGGAAGTGGAAGAGGGAAAAGGAGAAGAAGAAGAAGCAAAGAAGCAAAGAAGGAAGAGGAGCAGGAGGAGGAGAGAACCGTTTTTCTCCCGTTGCTCCATTGCTTTCGGAGGTCCGCGCGAGCTCCCCGGGCTGGCGCTCCAGAGGACGCCCAAACGAGGCCCGACGTGGCTCGCATCTGAGGGTCGCGCCGCATCGCCGACGCGCCGCGGCGTGGGGATGGAGAAACCTGGTCTCCGAACCGAGCCGCCTGGCCGATGCAGCGGCGATGCGGCGCGATCCTCCGTCCCCGTCCACTCGGAGTCCCTATTCCCTTCTGTTGCATCCGCGGGGGACCTTGTCTGTCCCATCGCGGACCTATCCGCGTCGAATCCGCGTCGAATCCGTGTCGAATCCATGTCGGCCTCGTCGGATCCGTGTCGAATCCGCGTCGAATGCACACTCAATCCGCTTCGAGTCCGCATCGAGCCCGCGTCGGGCACAAGCAAAGATACCAATTTGGGGGACAGGCGAGGCCCCCCGAAGATGCAACGTAAATTTCCCCCCCCCTCCCCGCGGATCCGGGGCGAGGGGGGGGTGGGCGAGAAGGAAGAGCGACTCCTGCCGGGAACATGTCGACGCACATGGCTGGAACCCACGCATGGAACGTTCGAAGCTTGGAGATTGGCACCAACACCAACATCAGGGGTTGCCTCCACGGGAGGAAGACGATCCTGGATTTTGGTGCTGGTGGTAATCCTTCGGACACATAGAAAGCCCGAATATTACCACCATCACCTGGATCGGGATCAGCTTCCCTCGGTGGAAGCACGCCGCCGATATTGGTGTTGGTGTCAACCTCTAGGCCTCCGAGAACGTGCGGAGGCCACGCGCTGGATACAGTGCGGGCGCGGCCGCGAAAACCCCCCGCAAGAAAAACCCAGCCCTGAAGGCCCGCGCGCGAGGCACATCTGGAGGGGGAGCCGGGTGGACCCCGAACGCAGCAGCTGCTGCTGCGGCTGCGGGGAGCCACCGCGCAGCGCGCGGAGCGAGGAGACCGAGGATGCCCTGGCGAAGAGCAGATGGTTTCTTGAAGCGCGCCCCCATTGGTACGCATGCGGAAGCCCAGCGCGCCCGGCCCCAGAGGGGCCGAGCACTGGACAAAAGACATCCGGCCCAGTCCTTATGCCTGACATCCAGCTTTCGCCCAGGCTGGCCGTGTCACGTGCATCCTGCTTCCTGGTGTGCCCCCACGCTCCTTCTCATACTCCCCACCCTCCTCCTGCTCCTCCGTCTCCTCCTCCGTCTCCTCCTCCTCCTCCTCCTCCTCCTCCTCCTCCTTCTTCACTTCACTTCACTTCACGATCCCATTCAAGCAATGTTCAACAATGTCAACTTCCCTGCTCTGGGCACGCCTGCACAACGGCACATCAAAACTGACTGGTCAGCGTCGCCGAGGAGCCGTGACACTGCACGACATAGCTCGGTCGGAACGCCTGCTGTTCGCAGGGGAGGTGGCCCGTCAAGACCAGCCCGACCGCCCGCCCACTGCCACCACGCAGAGGTCTTTAAACAAACCACCCCCCCGAGCCGCTCCAGGTGCCTGAGGGCGGGCACCACGCACCACTCACGAGCGCAGCAGGCCCGAACAGGCCAGGGCACTTAACCCCCAGGACCCGAATTAACCAGCTAAAAGAGCTTCACAGGTCCTAGGGAACCGATTTTTTTTTCCAAAGAAACGCGGCCAGAAACATGAAACAGGGCACGGGTCACTTTCCCCCGAGGCCCTTGGCGAGTGCGAACCTGGGGGCACGGCCTAGCTTCCTGGTTCCCCCTGCAGCCCTCAGAACGTGTACAAGGACAGTCATGATCTCCACGAGCTTATGGGTGTCTTGAACGGGCATCTCCATCGGGCTCCTCTGGGATACCTTTTCCCACTGTGGGTCTGTGGGCGCCCCTCCCCAAGCGTCGGCCCGCTGCTGATTGAGCTCCTTTGCGGCCTCCGCTCCCCTTGCCACGAGGATGTGGCCCCGATAACACAATGTGAGCCTCATCACCTTGGAGTCGAACGTGTTCGAAAACCCGCGCTCTTTGATCCACATCGACGCATCCCCGGGGCCCCCCTTTTCCATCATCGTGCGTATCCTGGCGCCGGCGCCCTTGTACTTGCGCGCCTCCAGCAGGCAGTCTTCCTGATTCAAGAAGTTGTCTATACCTAAGAGAACCGCTCCAAACACATGTAGTTCTGGCGGGCCCAGGGCGCGCCCCTTCCCCTGCTTCTCCACCTCCGCCAAATACTTCTTGCACTCCCCCATTCCAGCCTCCATTAGAGCATGCTCCTTGGGAAGATATATCTGGGCGGCGCTGGCATGCTCGAGGCCCCTGACTCGGCTCTCCAGCTGGAAAAGTAACCTGCGCCGAGATGCCTCCTTCGCCTCCTCTTTCTTGGCGACCTTGGAAGGCTGCCCCGCGTCTGCTGACTTGTTCGTCGCCAACAGCCAAGACATCCGTCAGGAAACACCTCGAGCGGGCATCTATCTCGCCCCCGATCTGGGGGCCAACATCTATAATATGCTCGTCTAGGTATGGCTGCAGATGGGCGTTGAAAATATGAAATCGCAGCGCCGCATTATCCTCGGAAGAAAACTCGTAGAGACGGCAATGGGTAACCTTGGGAACCACGACGTTTACAGAACGGCCTCGATCTCTACATTCCTGCGGTTGATGTGCTGCCGTGAGATGTTTCTGGACTTGTGCATATGTCGCAAAAGCCGTACCACACACACTACACTGATTGCACACGCATGCGATACGTGCAAGAATCTGGGCCCCGTGCTCCCCACCTTTTATGTGGACGTAGTGAGGGGTAAGTGCAGCGCGTGTGTCGAAGCATGCCGTGCATCTAGTGCCGTCCTCCAGCTTCGCCCAACATTGAAACTGCCCACTTCCTCCTCCTCCTCGTCGTGCCCTTCGTCGTCGCTCCCGTTCACTGCGATGTGTCCAATAGTGAGACTTAGGCCCCGAACGTCGAGCTGAACGAAATCGCCCATCCCCTCCGCGATCAGCGCAAGGGCACTCGCATCGTATCTTCCCAAGAGAACTGCACCGTCATTGAAACGCCCCAGCGCAGAAACATCGTGCAACCGCTCGCGCGCCCATGGATTCATCGAAAACTCCCTGCCAGAAACCGATCCCTCCTGTTCGACCCCCTCCTTCCCCACTGAAGTCTCCAAAAACAACCGCCAAAACCGGGGCGCCTTCGGGCGGGTGACGCAGTAAAGCCTGGAGCCAGACCAATCTGCGCACTCTGCATTCGATAAAGACTGCCGCAATACCGAGCTCCGCCAAGACTGGAGGGGGGGGGGGGGTCGAGGCTGCGAGCGTCGCCGTTCGGCGATGTCTTTGCAGCGCCTCCGAGGGCAACTCTGCCACGGCGTCCAAGACAACTTCCGAGCGGGGCGAGATCACTGTCCAGCAGCGGGCCGCTCGAGCGCGCAAGACTCTCGACTCCGGACAGCACTGCGTTGAGGACGTAGCCCTTGAAGACCGCCGAGCGCCACTTAAACTTCACCTAACTCGTCCAGAACCCCCCATCCTTGCCCAAGCCTCTTTCCCCGACATCAGTCTAAACTGCACCTCCACTCCCACTGCAAATCTGGCGGACAAGCGGGTGCCTAAATACCGAGCGAATGCAATCGTTCGACCAAGAAGACGATTAGGTCGAAGTAAAACCTGCTCATTTCGATGGGCCCCTCTCCCGCTCAAGTAGGGGATGGGCTCCTGCTTGTCTAGATTCTGGGCAAGGCCAATGGTGCCAAGCGTGTCCGTTACTCTCCTGTTTTGTCCCTCGCTCATCCTCAGCCCCTCCTCAAAGCTCGGGGACGGGATTGCGCCAGCATAGTCACCAACGAACAGCGCGACGGCCGCGTGCTCGACTTCGCGCGGGGCAAGCGGAGAGGAAGCCTGGATCCACTTCGCTATCGGAGTGGCCTCGGAAAAACCCTGCAGACGTAGTGCGTACACCATGACAAACAGGTACACCATGGTCGGCCCCCCAGGCATGCATCGCCCCCCCCCCCCCCCCCCCCCATGGTAAACGCGATGTTCCCCTCCCCATCCAGTGAACGCGACATGACTATACTTGATGCGGTCCAGCATGAGCGGGGCGTCGTCAGGGTGCAAAACTCGCATGGCCGCCGGGTTGAGGCAACCTGTCTCGACTGCGTAGAACGCGCTTGTCGCGCCGTGAAAGCGGCGAAGGCGTGAAACTCCTAGCTTCTTCAGTCTCCATGCCGAGCAGCTCTGCACACTGATTGCCCCTCCCAGCCCCCTTTTACTCAGTGCCCCATAAGCCCACGCTGGGATAGGATGTTTCGGAGCTCGCCTTAAGACTCCACGATCAAAAACTTTGCCCAGGGGGCGCGCCATCATCGCGACCCGCTCCACCCTGGCCCCCCTTGCCAGCCCCCTTCCCGACGCGAGCTGCAACGGCGCGCTGCCAGTCGAGCGGTAGCTTATTGCACGCCCCGGCGCTCATCAGGATGAAAGAGAGAGAAAATTGTAGAAAATCGGGGATATGAAGTTAGTTACGTCTGATATATGTCCGATGTCATGCCTCATCTCCTTCATTCTAGGATTTGTCCATCTCGGGGAAAACAAAAAGCAACGCGGATGAGCTCTATTGGGCAACTCCAGGGTGGGGAAGTCTTCCTGAGTCTGGCCTTCCAAACAGCTCTTCTCATTGCCTGGAGGTCCTCCTCGGCATCCTCGGTCTCAGCGACCAGCGGGGCACCTGATCCCCTGGCAGTTCTTAAACTGTCCAGTGTCATGACCTGGGCTGAGCAGCCGCCTGCGGGTCCTGGAAGTTTCATTTTCTCCCCACACTCTTGCCGCGTCCCCTCCGCCCTGATCTTCCCGTAGATTCTCTTCCTCCCCCCTTCTTCGTATGTGCGATGAGTTTAGCTAGGCGGTGTATGCTGTGCCCATCCTGCCTCCCCACCGCCTCTTCAAAAGCCCCGCGCCTGTCTTGCCTGATCTGCTCCCAATAGGTCCTCTTTCGATTTCTCAGCCACCTGCTCACTCCCCCCAGCTCCATCGTCAGTCTAAGCTCCTCCCCCTCCAAGTCCTCCGAAGACTCGACCTGCGAACACTGTCCCCGAACGTCTCTGCGATTCTGGAGGAGTTGTGAGATCTCTCTTGCATGCCAAGAATGATTTTCTGTATACAGCGGGGAGCGAGCGCACTGCTCTTCGCCTGCTTCCCGAAGTGACTGCATCAGTACCCCGTTGGCTTCATCTGCGACCCTGTTCGATGGTAGCGAAGCCACGCTGTCGTATTCTCGAGAAAGAAACCGCTCCAGCTGCATAATAAATTCTTTGCAGTTTAAGCCTCGCTGCAACGTCATCGGCATGGCCTCTCCCGAGAGATGCGCCACCTGTCTCTGGCCTGCGTTCTCATATGGTTATGCGATCACTTGAAGCGGCAGTGCGATTCCAACTGGTACGTGATCCCATCGCTTGGATTGACTGTGTGTCTGAAGTCGCCAAGCGCTGCGCCGCAGAGTGCGACGCCAACATACTTCGGGTACACACTGGTGGGGCATAAAGATGAAGTCGATCACTTTGGGCGTCTGCGAATTACCGTAGTATGTGTCGCCAGCGGGCCAAAGCGTATTCATCGCACGCAATTCTTGCGATTTCAAAAGAGCCGAAATATTCTGCGTCGTGAAATTCCAATCTCCACATCCGTAGGCACCTGAAAAGCATTCAATCTCAGGGAACTGCGCATTAACATCGCTCATAATCACAGGTGCCCACCTTGCCGATATTGAGCTGAGTGCAGCTTCGAACCATCGTAATATTGCGTCAATAGTAGCCTCCCACTGCAGATGTTGCGCACGAGTTCTTCTAGGTTGGGGAGGAAAATACACGAGGATGAACACTATCCTGAGGCTGCCCCGCTCAATCTTCGCTCCGCCACACCGTCCCCAAATATTCTTCGGTGTATGAATAAACCGCTTGATGCAGGACATATTGACAAATTTTCTTCTCAGCCAAAGCGTGAGACCACAACTCTTGTTTGTATGTGCTCCCCTGGTCCAGCCAAAATCAATACTCCAGCGATTCTCCAGTCTCTGCGATATCTCAACCAACGTACCTGTTGACCTCGTCTGCGTCCCTATCAATCCCACTGCATCAAAGTTCGAAAGTTCTTCGATGACGTCTCGGCTCCTGTGATTGTTGGCGCTCTGCGGGTTTAACTGCGCAAACATGATGCCACGTCGGGCTGCCGACGCTGAAGAAACAACAGGTGCCATGGCATGATGCAAGCCGATGCCTCTCTGTCTGAAGGCGCCCGATGGGGGGCAATCCCCGATCCATAGCGGCGCTTTTCCTCCTCCTCCTCCTCCTCCTCCTCCTCCTCCTCCTCCTCCTCCTCCTCCCCCTCCTCCTCCTCCTCCTCCTCCTCCTCCTCCTCCTCCCCCCCGCGCTCACAGTCGGGACTGCTTGCACAGGGCACCCGAGAGGACACCAAAAAAGTTCCTTCCGAGTGCCGGCCGGCGCGGCAGGCACGACGAGGCCGTACGTACGAGGAGCGATAGACAGGACACGAGGGCACCAGTGATCCTGCGGGGCCGACCCTTCCTTCAGACCCGACTGTACAGTGGGAGCCCATGCCAAGAAACACCCTGCTTGCCTCCAGGGTGGTTTCTGTGGTTTCGGTGTTTTGCGATGGAAAGCGTGACGCTCCCGCACCAAAAATCAATGGACGTCCTGGGGTCTCAGGGTTGGGTTTCTTGTGGACGGTTTCTTGTGGAGGGGCCCCCATTGTACTGAACAGCTCGACGCAACGTTCCTTTGGCGGCGAGCCAGGGGTGGAAGTGAGAAGGGGCGGGCCCTCTCGGAAGACTCGGGAGTCCCTCCGCCTTTTATGAAATCTTTTCTCAGCCTCCCGTGAAGGCGCGGCACACTTCTCAGAAGGCGAGAGGGCTTCTGAGAAGCCCACTCTACCTCTGAGAAGGCCTTTTCTTTCTCACTTCCCCCCTTCGCTCGCCGCCGATTCCTGCCCCCTGAGCTCCTGGAGAATGGTCACCTCTGCTTGGCCGCCCTCCTCAGGAGAGCCCAGAATAAAATCGACAAGTCGGATCGGTGATCGGAACGAATCGGATCGGCGGAAATCGGCGGCCGAGTCTGGAAAAGCCCAATCGGCGGAAATCGGCAGGCCAGTCTGCCTCCAGCGAGAAATCGGAACCCAAATCGGAATCCCAAAGCGAATCGAATCGGAATCGGAAACCACCGAAATCGAATCGAATCGAACCGGAGGAATCGAAAAGAGCCCTGCCGCCTCCTAGGCTGGCTTCGGGAACCGCTGAAGCCTAATAAGGATTGTGTTCCTTTCCGAAGGCCCGTTATGGCCATGCTAGTGCCATGACATAGTCAGGATATTGCAATGCTATTACAATGCTACTTCCATGCTATTGACATACAGCATGGCAACTGTTTGGCAACTGCATGTCAGCTGCATGGCAATAGCATGGCAACTGCATGGCCATAGCATGGCAACAGCATGGCAACTGCGTGGCAGCTGCATGACAGCTGCATGGCAACTGCATGGCAGTAGCATGGCAACTGCATGACAACTGCGTGGCAATGGCATGGTAATTGCACGGCAACTGCATGGCAACTCTTTGGCAGTACCATGGCAACTGCGTAGCAATCGCATGGCAACTGCATGGCAATAGCACGGAAACTGCATGTCCATCGCAGGGCAATAGCATGGCAACTGCATGGCAATCGCATGGGAACTGCATGACAATCGCATGGCACCTGCATGGCACTCGAATGGCAATAGCATGGCAGCTGCATGGCAATAGCATGGCAACTGCATGGCAATCGCATGGCAATAGCACGGCAACGTCACGGCAATCGCGTGGTAATCGGATGACCAACGCATGGCAATAGCATGGCAACTGCATGGCACATCGCATGGCAATAGCATGGCAAATGCATGGCAACTGCATGACAATCGCACGGCAACTGCATGACAATCGCATGGCAACTGCATGGCAGTTGAATGGCAGTAGCATAGCAACTGCATGGCAACTGCATGGCATATCGCATCGCAATAGCATGGCAACGGCATGGCGATCGCCTAGCAATTGCATTGAGACTGCATGACAAGCAATCGCATGAAGATAGCATGGGAACTGCATGGCAATCTCACGGCAACTGACACTAGCATGGCAACTGCATGGCAACTGTATAATAATAGCATGGCAACTACATGGCAGTAGCAAGGCAATAGCATGGCAACTGGATGGCAATGGCATGACACCGGCACGGAAGACACCTGGTAATCGCATGGCAATCGCATGGCAATCGCATGGCAACTGCACAGCAATCGCATGGCAATCGCATGACGATAGCATTGAAATCGCATGATAACTGCAGGCCAAAGTCATGGACATATCATGGCAACTGCATGGTAAGTCCACGGCAACTGCATGGCAATCGCATGGCAACTGCATGGCAACTGCATGACAATCGACTGGCAATAGCATGCCGATATTATTGCAACTGCATTGCACTCGCATGGCAACTCTATGGAAATAGCATGGCAGCTGCATGGCAATCGTATGGCAATAGCATGACAGTAGCATTGCAACTGCATGGCAATCGCATGGCAACTGCATGGCAATCGCATGGCAACTGCATGGCACTCGAATGGCAGTAGCATGACAATCTCATGGCAATAGTATGGCAACTGCATGGCAAACACATGGCAATCGCATGGCAACATTACGGCAATCGCCTGGTAATCGGATGGCACTCCTATGACACTCGCATGTGAATAGCATGGCACACGCATTGCAATCGCATGGGAACTGCATGACAATAGCATGGCAATGCGTGGCAATCGCCTGGCAATAGCATGGCCACTGCATGGCAATGCCATGACAACGGCATGACAAACGCCAGGCAACTGCATGACAATAGCATGGCAACGGCATGGCGATCACCTAGCAATCGCATGGCAATCGCATCACAGCTGCATGGCAATCGCATGGCAATACCATGGAAACTGCATATGGCATGGCCACTGCACGGCACTCGCATGGCATCTCTTTAGCAATACCATGGCAACTGCATGGCAATCGCATGGCAATATCATGACAACTGCATGGCAATAACATGACCACTGCATGGTAGTCGCAGGACAATAGCATGGCAACTGCATGACAATATCATGGACACTGCATGACAATCGCATGCCAGCTGCATGACAAACACATGGAAATATCATGACAACTGCACGGTAAGCAATTGACAATAGCATAGCAATGTCATGACAACTGCATGACAATAGCATTGCCACTGCACGGAATTCACATGGCAATAGCATGGCAACATCATTGCAACTGCATGGCAATCGCGTGGCAACTGCATGACAATAGTATGGCACTCGCATGGCGAAATCATAGCAGTAGCATGGCAATCGCATTGCACTAGCATGGCAACTGCATGCAAATAGCATGACAACTGCATGAGACATGCATGGACACGTCATGGCAATAGCATGGACACTGCATGGCAAGCGTATGGCACTAGCATGAGAACTGCAGGACAACTGCATGGCAATCGCATGGCAATCGCATGGCACTCGCATGGCAACTGTATGCCACTCGAAAGGCAATAGCATGGCAATTGCATTGCACAAGCATGGCACTTGCATGGCAGTAGCATGGCGATAGCACGTCAACTGCATGGAAGTCGCAGGACAATCGCATGACAATGGTATGGCAGCAGCATGACAACAGCATGGTAGTCGCATGGCAATCGCATGCCAATAGCATGACAGCTGCATGACAACTGCATGACAATAGCACGACACACGCATGCCAATCGCATGGCAATAGCATTGCAATGACATGGTAGTGGCATGGCAACAGCATGGCAACGGCATGACACTAGCATGGCAATATCATGACCCTTGCATGGCAATCGCATGACACTAGCATGGCAACAACATGTAACATGCGTGGCAACTGCATGGCAACGGAATAGCACTCGCATGGCAATAGCATGGCACTCGCATGGCAACAGCATGCCAATAGCATGGGAACTGTATGGCAACTGCCTGGCACGAGTATGGCGTTTGCATGGCGGTAGCATGGCATTAGCGTGGCAAAGGCGTTTCTTTTCGTAAGGGGGGTATGTTACAGAAGTTCCCTGAACCATTACCCCCCTTGACCTGCGCAAGTTCAATGGGTAATGCTGAAGGCCATGGCAAGGCAAATGACAATAGCACGGCAACTGCGCGGCAAGAGCCTGTTGTCTGCATGGCGGCAGCATGGCAGTAGCATGGCAAAGGCGTTGTCTTGCGCAAGTCAAGATGGTATGTGCTCAGGGAATTCCTGCCTCGTTTCTCCCCTGCCGTGGCCTTCCCGCACGGACCTGCCAAAATCACCCCGCGAGTCGTCCCACAAATCATCCTGCATTGGCAGTTCGATGGCATGGCGATGGCGATGGCAACTATATGGCAACAGCGTGGCCACGGCATGACTCTGGCATGGCAACAGCATGGCAACGGCATGGCAATGACATGCAACATCATGGCCACACCATGGGGACAGCATGACAACCGCATGACAAGAGAATGACAGCAGCATGGCAATATCATGGTACTAGCAAAACAAACCGTGGAAACCGCATGGCCTCTGCATGGCAACAGCATGAACACACCATGGTAACATCACGGCAACACCATGGCAACTGCATGGCAGAGGCGTGGCATCGGCATGGCACGCGCATGGCCCCTTAATCGAAACAACGCGGGACCATCATGGCAACGGCAGGCATGCACGGCACCGGCATGAAAACATCATGGCATCATTATGGCAACGGCGTGGCAACATAGCAATGCAACAGCATGGCAACGGCATTGCAACAGCACGGCCGTAGCATGGCAGCACCATGGCAACGGCATGACAACCGCATGGCAACTGCATGGCAGTGGCAAGGGCGCCGCACGGCAGCAACATTGCAGCATATTGGCAACATCATGGCAACGACATGGCTTCGGCACGGCAGCGGCATGCTGTTGCCGTGCTGTCGGGTGGGGGTAGGGATTTTGCAGGAATCTGCTGGATATCAACCCCCAGATTTGGGCAAGCCAGCGCGTTCCCGCATGGACCTGCCAAAAGCACGCCGCGAATCGTACCGCAACTCATTCTGCATTTGTATGGCGATGGCATTGCGGTGGCGATGGCATTACAACTGTATGGCAACAACGTGGCAACGGCATGGCTCTGACATGGCAACAGCATGGAAACGGCATGGCGACAGAGTGGCGACACGAAGGGTCAACAAAATGGTACAGGCATGACCATAGTATGGCACTAGCGTGTCAAACTCATAGCCGTAACGTAGCAAGGGCACAGAAAAAGGCAAAACCGGAAAAGCACACCAGAAGCCAGCCTGAGGGGCAACGATAGGGGGAGACTGGCACAGGGGGGGGATGCATCGACCTGGAATCGGCGATCAATGGGCGATTGGGGTCGATGCCTCCCCCCTTATGCCGATCCCCTATGTCGTTGCCCCTGACAGCCTAGGCTCCTCCGGGCCAGCACCGCGGGCGGGCGCCGCCGCGTGGGGCCGGGCGGCCCTGCGCATGAGGCCCGTGACGCTGCCGGCGGGCCCGACCTCTACGTGCTCGGTCATGGGCCCTTTGCTGCCCGTTGCGCCCGAGCTGTCTTCGGCAATCCTCGGCGGTCTGCGGGCGGTCTTCTGCCGGTCTTCGGCGGTCTTTGGCTGTTCCTGGGGTGACCAATGTGTACGAAGAGCGTGATCCACCTCCGCTTTACTCTGGAAAATTCCCCCCCCCCCCCCCCCCACCCCCTCTTCCCCGGGAACCCAGGGATCTCCCCCCCCCTTCCGAAAAAAATCCCCCCCCCCCCCCCTGCTCGAACCCCCCCCCTCCCCCCCCCTCCCGCCCCCCCTCCCCAAAACCCCCTCTCCCCCCTCTCCAAAACGGGGGGGTCACTACCGGTCGAACCCCCTCCCCCCCCCTCCAGAAAACCGGGGGGGTCACTACCGGCTCGAACCTCCCCCCCCGCCGCCAGCAAAAGACTCCCGGGTCCCCACCACCGTCCTCACCTCCGCCCTCACTACTGTTCCCACAACCACCGTCCCCACCACTGTCCGACCCACTGTCCCCACTGTTCCCACCACTGTCCCCACTGTCCCCTCCAATGTCCCCATCACTGTCCCCCTGTCCCCACTGTCCCCGCCACTTTCCCCACCACGGTCCCTCTCTCCCCACTGTCCCCATTGTCCCCACCAGTCCAGTGTCCCACTGTCCCCACCACTGTCCCACGGACCCCACTATCCCCACCGCTGTCCCACAAAGCTGTCCCGCTGTTCCCACCACTGTCCCACTGTCCCCACTGTCCCCACCACTCTCCCACTGTACCACTGTCCCATTTTCCCACCACCGTCCTCACCACCACCTTCACTACTGTCCCCGCTACCACCGTCCCCACCACTGTTCCACTGCCCCCACCACTGTCTCATTGTCCCCTCACCACTGTCCCGTCCCCACCACCACCGTCCCCACCACAATCCCACTGTCGACACTGTCCCCACCACTCTCCCACTGTCCACACTGTTCCCACCACTGTCCCCACTTTCCCCACCAGTGCCCCTACCACTGTCGCACTCTCCCCACTGTCCCCACCACTGTCCCCACCACTGTCCCCACCACTCCCACTCTCCCAACTGTCCCAACTGTCCCCACCACTGTCCCACTGTCCCCAATGTCCCCACCTCTGTCCCACTGTTCCCACTGCCCCCACCACTCTCCCCACTGTACCTCAGTCCCATTTTCCCACCACCGTCCTTACCACCACCCTCACTACTGTCCCCACCACTACCGTCCGCACCACTGCCTCAGTGTCCCCACCACTGTCCCAGTGTCCCCTCACCACTGTCCCCACCACCACTGTCCCCACCACAGTCCCACTGTCGACACTGTCCCCACCACTGTCCCACTGTCCACACTGTTCCCACCACTGTCCCCACTTTCCCCACCAGTGCCCCCACCACTGTCGCACTCTCCCCCCGGTCCCCACCACTGTCCCCACCTCTGTCCCACTCCCCCCACTGTCCCAACTGTCCCCACCACTGTCCCACTGTCCCCGCTGTCCCCGCCACTGCCCCACTGCTCCCAGTCCCCACCACTGTCCCACTGTGCTACCCCAGTCCACACTGTCCCCACTTCTTTCCCACTGTCCCCTATCACACTCGCCTCTGTACCACGGCCCCACCACCGTCCTAACCACCGCCATCACCACTGTCCCCACCACCACCGTCCCCACCACTGTCCCACTGCTGCCCCCACCACCACCGTCCCCACCACTGTCCAACTGTCCCCATTGTCCCTGCCACTGTCCCACTGTCCCCACAGTCCCTACCACTGTCCCCACTGTCCCCGCCAGTGCCCCCACCACTGTCGCTTTGCCCCCACTGTTCCCGCAGCTGGCCCCGCCACGGTCCCACT